CAGAAGTCTCAGAGATGCCATTTACCTAAGAAGCTGCGCAGCATCCCCTTATTGAGCTCTTCAAAAACAACATAAATGAGCCCAAAAGCATCCTCTGCCTTCCCAAATCATTCAGGAGCAATTGTGAAAGGCCTCCAGAGCTCGGAGGCTCTGAGGGGTGATGCAATCCTTGGAGGAAATGCTGATATCTCGTGCCACAGCACACAGCTCGCTGCCAGCACAGATCCACGGGGCTCAGGTCAGAGCAGGACAAACCCCTCAGGACATTCCTCTCCTCCTGGCTGGCAGGGGGTGTGCAGGAAAACAACTGACAAACAAGCAGCCGTGCCTTAATTTCCATTAATCAGCAGATAAGCAGCCGTGCCTTAATTTCCATTAATCAGCAGACAGAGCACAGAGCGCTGCAGGCACTCACTGGGTCCCGGCTGGAAGGGAGCTCCTGCCCATTCCTTCCACCAGGAATGCTCATCTGAGAAATGCAAAGCTGTGTTTCGTGTCAATTGTGTGTGTATTTGTGATTGCCATATGTGTGGAGAGTGACAGTGGGATAGCTGCAAATTCTAACAATAACTGAGGAAAATAAACCATGGAAAAAGCCTATGAACCTATCTTTTGTTTGCAATTAACCCTTGTTGATTTAGGAGCATTGGAATTAGAGCGTTAAGGATGTTGCTCTTTACTTGCATTTAATCCATAAAAAGCTCTGCAATAATAACCTTTTGAAGTATAATTTTAGAGTATTGCTTGTATCCTTGAAACTATAGAATTCGAATATATATAAAGGAAATATGCTTATCTCACGCCTTAATAAAACAGAGAAAAGCAGCTTGAGAAAGGAAGGTGAACATCACCTCAAGGATTTATGGTTTCGACCAAGGGAAGCTGGACATCACTGTTATGAGATTTATAGTCCTTGCAATTAAAAGGTGGAGCATCAGGAGCACTGGCACTCTGGAGCAGCGCTGGGTTTTGCCCAGCATTTTGTAATAAAGGGTTATGTAATTCCAAGTCATTTCTGCTGATGGAATGTGGGAGCTACTGCAAAACACTCCAGAGGATCAGGCAGAAACTTCGTCTGGGAGCGCTTCTGGCAGCGTGCAAACACTTTCCTGCCTCTGCAATTTATGGTTATTAATGTCAGTGCCATGGCTCTGGCAGGCAGCACCTCCACCATCTCCAAGCCTTTGCTTCAAAAGAACTGTTCTTGATGGAGAAAATCAGGACACCCATTTCAGCTAGGATTTTTTTAAGGTTTTTTCCTTTCTTTTTTTTTAAATTGCTGTATTGCTTTAGGAAGGAGCTTTCCAAAGCTCAGCACAAAACGATTCCACATTGCTGCATCCCCATCTGCAAAAAGCAGCGCTGGTGCAGTGCCAAGGAGGTGACACTGCCACAGTTAGTGATGAAAAAGCGAGGCAGGAAGTTATCTGCAGCACAAACGGCTAAACAGGCAAAACATGTGTTTGATTAACAGAAGAAACAAAGAAAGTGTGACTCAGCTCGGGCAAATCAAGCTCTTTAAATGGGCTGCTCTCCATCCCAGCAGCTGAATTCAGCCCTCTCTGAGGGGAGCAGCCCCTCTCTGGGAGCTGTGGGCATGGGCAGAACCCCCTGCGATATCCCAGACTGGAATTGGTGCTGCAGGGCCAGTTCTGCACTCCCTTCACATCCCAGCCCTGGAATTTTTGTCTGAAGGAACAATTCTGCACTCCCTGCATGTTCCCAGCCCTGGAATTGGTCTCCCTAGGGCAAATTCTGCACTCCCTGCATGTTCCCAGCCCTGGAATCAGTGTCTGCAGGAACAATTCTGCACTCCCTTCACATCCCAGCCTGGAATTGGTCTCTCCAGGGCCAATTCTGCACTCCCTGAATGTTCCCAGCCCTGGAATTGGCGCTGCAGGAACAATTCTGCACTCCCTGCATGTTCCCAGCACTGGATGGTGCCTGCAGGAACAATTCTGGACTCCCTGCAGGAGCAATTCTGCACTCCCTGCACATCCCAGCCTGGAACTGGTGTCTGAAGGAACAATTCTGCACTCCCTGCATGTTCCCAGCCCTGGAATCAGTGTCTGCAGGAACAATTCCACATTCCCTGCACATCCCAGCCCTGGAATTGGTCTCCCTAGGGCCAATTCTGGACTCCCTGCAGGAACAATTCTGCATTCCCTGCATGCTCCCAGCCCTGGATGGTGCCTGCAGGAACAATTCTGCACTCCCTGCACATCCCAGCCCTGGAATTGGTCTCTCCAGGGCCAATTCTGCACTCCTTAGGCACTGCTTTAACCAACACACTCGAGCTCAGCGCACACAGAGCTCCCGCCCTGTAAAACCCATAACGATGCCATCACGGAGCACAAAGGGATTTAGGCACCGGAGCCACCACAGCAGTAACAGAGCAAGCAGCGGGAGCCGCGAGGTGCCCTGGGGACACAGGGACTCCCACAAACCCCAAACCCAAAGGGAACCAGCCCAGAGCCCGGCGGAACGAACAAGGCAGGCGGGACTCACTTGTCCAGGATGAAATACAGATCAAAGCCCCCGTAGCAGGCAGGACCTGGGGACACAGGGACTCCCACAAACCCCAAACCCAAAGGGAACCAGCCCAGAGCCCGGCGGAACGAACAAGGCAGGCGGGACTCACTTGTCCAGGATGAAATACAGATCAAAGCCCCCGTAGCAGGCAGGACCTCCGTGCTCTCTCCGCCCGCCGTGCCCGTCGCAGGTGAGGGTGCAAACGGCGAGCAAGGCGCACTGCAAACCAAACCTCCAGATGCTCTGCTTTGCAGTGGCCATTATATCCACAGAGGAGGAGAAAAAAGAAAAAAAAATCTCTTCTTCTTCCGAGGCCGCTTTATTTCCCAGGTTTCTCCACAAAAGCCATCCAGCGACCCCCGGAAGGTTTCGGTGTGTGTTGTATTCCTGAAAGCTCCGCTCGCAACAGCTGTCGGCAGGAATTGCCAGGCTTTCCTTCCCCCTTGTTTCCCTCGCGCCGCTGTTTCTCGGTTTCGGATTTCAAGATGCACAATACTGTATTTCACTTTTTTTCTTTTTAAAGGGACTCGACCCTCAGCGTCCCCGGCAGCTCTGGGGGAGCAGCACCATTGTTTGCCAGGAGCAGGAACAGCCTCCTCCTCTTCCTCACAGACCTCGCTTTGTCACGGGCCTCAGCAAACGCAGGGAGGGTTTGTGGCTTCCCCCCCTTCCCTTTAATTATTATTGTTATTATTGAAAACGGCAAGCTCTGCTTTTCCTTGGCGAGAGAAGCTCGGAGAATGCCATCTCGTGGCCACAACAGCTGCGGCACGGAACGGAATCCCAGCCCGGGCTGGGTTAGGACCGACCTAAAGCCCCAAAGCCCAGCCCAGCTCTGGCAGGGACAATTTCACTGCCCCAGGGTGCTCCAAACCCCGTCCAGCCTGGCCTTGGCACTGCCAGGGACCCGCAGCTGCTCTGGGAATCCCATCCCAGCCCCTCTCCCAATATTTCTCCCCAAAATCCCAGGGAATCCTGGAATGGTTTGGGTTGGAGGAGACCTCAAAGCCCACCCAGCCCCACCATGGGTCCCGCACCTCCCCGTGTCCCAGGTGGCTCCAGCCTGGCCTGGGGCACTTCCAGGGATTTCAGCTGCTCTGGGAATTCCATCCCACCCTCACAGGGAGGAATTCCTTCCCAAAACCCAAAACCCCACCTAACCCTGCCCCCAAGGCCGTTCCCTCCATCCTGTCGCTTCAAATGTGCTCCCCACACAGAGAGATGTGCAGGGACATCTTTATTTCCACACAGACAGAAGAGATGTGCAGGGACATTTTTATTTCCATAGACAGAAGAGATGTGCAGGGATATCTTTGCTCCCCACGCAAAGAGATGTGCAGAGACGTTTTTATTTCCGTAGACAGAAGAGATGTGCAGAGAAATCTTTGTTCCCCATACAGACAAAAGAGATGTGCAGGGACATCTTTATTTGTGCAGGGACATCTTTGCTCCCCACACAGGCAAAATCTGGATTTAAAGCCCTTTAAAACCTTGGGGCAGCTTCTCAGGAGTGAAGAGCCGGGCCAGGCTTCCTGCCCTGCCTTTTCTCACTCCTGAGCAGTGCCCAGCAGTTCCTGTGCTCACCAAAGCCCCAGATCCCCGAACTCCAAAGCCTGACCTGCCCCTGTTCCAAGGAAACCCATGGAGAATATAAATCAATGTACACTCACCTCTCCTTGCACAAACAGGGCTGCAGAGCAGGCAGGAGAGCTCACAGCGAGCACCAGCCCCGCTGAGGGAGCCCCTGGTGCCTCCAGCCGAGCTTTTATTGCTGCAGGGATCCCAAATTCCCCTCGGGGCGCACCAACAGCCCCAATGCCCTAAATGCCAACACCTGGTGAGCTCGGAGGGGCTGCCAGGGGATGCAATGCTCTGTGCCTGGCTTTCCAGCTGTGCAACTCGAGGCTGACACTCAGTGGCCAAGAGGATTTCTTCCTTCCCTGGGCCGCTGTAATTGTTCAGAGATCTGAGCGACAAGAATCCCAGCCTTGCCTTGTGTCAGGGACAGAACAACTCTGTAAATCCCACAAAGGAGACTCCCCTTCCCCTAAAAATGATAAATTAATTGTTTTTCACTTCTTCCTATCTGCCTTTTGTGCCCCCTAGGTTTTTAATGAGCAGCATCTTTCCCCAGGCAGGGAAGGAAGGTCCAAACTGTGAATTCCCTGTTTGTACCACACACACCCTGGGGCCTGCCCAGCTCTCTGGCTCTGCTGGGATGAAAAGAGCAGTGAAAGGGCAAAAATGGGGCAAAATATTTTCATGGAGGTGCTCTGAGATGAAAAAGGGTGGAGTGATGACAAACAGGCAGGAGTTATTCCATGATGAAGGAATTTAATTGCTAGCTCTGCTCACCAACTGATCTGTTCCAGCACCCAATGCTCAGGAAGGAATCTCTTGGAAGAAGAGATGCCAGGGAATGATTCCAGCAGGGCTGGGTTTGGGCAGCAGCTCAGGAAAGGCAGGATTTACACAAAGTTATCGTTGTGGCAGTAGGTGAGCGCCAAATATTGGAGGACATCGAGCTTGAGGCACGATCCAAGATTGAATTGGGGTCCTACAAACACAGGGAAAGAAACCAATTACCATGAGACAGAGATGCTGTTAGGTGCTCTGGGTCAAGCCCAGACAGAGGCGCTTACAAACACCCTTTTTATTGCCTGGGCATTTCAGGGGGCCCAAAACACTCTGAGCCCAAAATTAAGCCCCATTAAGCTGTAAGGGTTTGGTTTGGGTCATTTTTGGGGGCTGTGACCCCACCCTGGTCCAGTCCTGATTGCAGAGATGTCAAACCCTTTGTACAAGTGCTGAAGCCCCTGGGTGCTGTGGGTTCTGAGGTGCAAGAGCAGCAATTGGGCATTGAACAAATGTTCAGAGACACAATTCCTCTGCTTGCACTCACCCTGAACTTCATAGGCCACATAAGTTGAGAGCCCTGTGCACGTGGAGAAGATGTCTGGTCCATAAGATTCCAGGTCGCGGATGGCTCTCCTGATGAGGGTGAATGTGATCTCCTTGCTAGGGGGTCTTGGGTGCCTCTGGTTCTAAAGAGCAAACACCAGCACTCAGCAAGATCAGTGCCCTGCTCTGCTTAACCCCAGGCATGCTCCTCGTTTTAGTTGTTATAAACAATAGATATCATTATTACTACTACTACTACTATTATTATTAATATTATTATTATTACTGATATTAATATTGGTTTTATATTATATTATATTATATTATTATTATAATATTAATAATAATAATAATAGTAGTAGTAGTAGTAAACAATGTGATAAGAATAATCTAACTGAGCTACAACACTGGCCAAACACGTAAACCCTCCACTGGAAGCACCTGAACAAGGGTATTCCAATTTTCAAGAGGTGAAAGTTACATTGTTGTAAAATCTCATTGAAATTGATAAAACTATCTAATTAACGGTGTGACAAATCTGGTCTTTAAAGTATGTGTTACTTTTGGAAATAGCAAGGTTTGACTTTGCATTAAGTACAACTTTCCAATAACTGTTCCTTTTCAATCTCACCCTGAGGTCTGCAGCCAGCTGGGGAAGTGCATCAAAGCTGGGCATCTCTGTTCTGTTCATTATGGAAATGTAGCAAGCTCTCTCTGGCAGCACTTTGGTGGCCATAAAGCCCTGTAAAATAAAATTATTGACCACGTGGAATTTAATCATTAATATTGGAATTTCATATCTATTAAAAAGCAGTTTTTACTGAATGTTTGAGCTGCTCTGAACAAGCCCCTCCCTGCACTCACTGTGTCATAGTTCCAGATGGTTTTCCAGTACTCATGGTTGGTCTTCTGCTCAATACTTGCCACCAGCCATTTCCTATTGATGGTCATAATTTGGTAGCCTCCACTAATGGAGATTTTCTTGCTTATTTCAGTCTGCTGGTGCTAGAAAAACAAATGAAAGAGCACTTGGGCTTTCAAGTGATTATCTCCCCAAGGCTTTAGAAAAATGAAAGGTTCAAGGAGATCTCTGAAGCAGGGAAGAGAGAAAGAGCAGCATTGTGGAATCGTTCATTTGTACTCACATTATCAGCAAGGGCTGGATTCAGGACGAGTCCTAGAAGGACTGCAGTCCAAATCTGAAATCAAAAACAAATACAAAATGTAACTGCAGCTCTGGCTGACAAATCTGGTCATGGGAGTCCTCCTTGCCTTTTCCTAATCTGATGTTCAAGGGTCCTCCTTGGATCCTTTTTTTGCTTTCAACCTGGGATTGCATCAGTGCCCCAAAGGGAAGCACCCTTGCTTTACCCCAGGGGCTGAGCTGCTCCTTCTGGAGGAGCACGATGTCCCCAGAGAAAGCCTCGGTGCCCCAGAGAGGCAGGAGCCCTTCTGAGAGATAAAGGAATGGGTTTGAATCAAAGTTTCAGTTCATAAGGAAGAAAAGCATGCATACTTACAGAGAGATGCATCCTGACTGCAGAGCTGATGCTGCTGAAGGCAGAATAAGTGATGTGAGCCTCCCACCTTTTATTTGTTTTCAGAATTAGGTGTGGAAGGGCTGAATGTTGCAATAAAATTATTTTGTCGTTTGTTTCCCTGCTGCATGTCCTTGATAATTATTTCCTGGTGTAACTACTTGATCAATATCGGGATTTTACTTTTGGAAATTTTGATCTGCTGGAGTCTGATGATTATGAGGTAGGAATCTGTTGGTAGGAAAAAAGAATAAATAGGTTTTATTGCCTCCTCCAGCAATGCCACGTGTATGATGTTTCTCCTGCTCAGGCATAACCCCAGTGCCAGAGTGGTGTGAACTTCCATTGTGGTGCTCCTGGGAGCTTTTCTCGATCTTCCAAATTCTGGGATAGATTAAAGGAGGTGAGGATTTAGCTTTGTGGATTCCCAGCAGTGTTTCTCTCAATAAAGCACTGGCTGCAGCGGCCAGGTTTTGGGGGATTGTTGCCCTTGGAGATCAGCTTAAAGGGGAGATGGTTTGTGGCCTCAGAGGGGCGGCTGGGAAGCCCAGCTGGGAGCCCTCAGTGGTTTTGTGTCAGGCTGTACATCCAGGCTTTGCCCCAGCCTGGTTTTCAGCTGCTCTGGGAGCTCTGAGAGGCAAACGTGGGAGTGACGCCGCTTCTGTCAGGAGCATTGGTTCCCTGACCCAGGCAGGGAACAAGGGACAATCACTCAGCCCTGACAGCCTGGGAACATGGTCTACCTGGATCACAGCCTGGGTGGAACGGGGCCATTGTCACCCAATGGGACAGGCCAGGGTGGAAATCTCCTGGCAATGAAGGACAACCATCTCCTGACCCCATCAACAGCAGAGCCAAGGGGCCCTTTGAGCTGCCCTGCACTGCACTGGGCTCCTCAAGCCTCTCCTGTGGACTGGGATGTGTCCTGCAGCTCACAAAGCCTCAGGTTTGCAGTCAAAATCTGATTTCCTGAAGGCTGGGCTGGAATCCCCCGCTCCTGGAGACTCAACCCTCACCCACTGAGACATGCAAAGGCATTTGACCCCTTCCAGTGAACTCAGGGAAATTTTTAACAGGTCCCTTTGCACACACAGATAGAGATGCAAACAGCTCTGGGCCTGTGTGGGTGCATGAGCAGTGATTAGGGTATGAATGTTGCTATCTAGAATCTATATTTCAGTCTTTGTTGTAACTGTAGTAAACACCATTGAATCACCTTGTAAATGAGTCAGTGTTTAAATGCTCTTAAACCCTTTGCACCCTCACCCTTTGCAGCCCTGGGCTCTGTGTGTGCCATTCTGAAGGGATTTTAATTTGATTTTCCTTTGCAGGTCTCATCTGTGCAGTAAGCAGTAGACCAACCCTTGCCACTGAATTCTGTTAACTTCCACAAACTGATGTTGAAACCTGCTGCTAATTGATGTGCACTCTTGCTTTTTATACATAATATCCCAAAGTTAAATCTGAAAATGGGTTTGCCTTATTGGCAGGTGCCCTGTGTTCACAGAAGCATGACGAGTTTCCTGGGGAAGTGCTCTGATAAGAGGAGGCTTTGATACCTGCCTGATTGAATTCATGGCATACAGGGAGGTGAGAGAAAAGTGCTCATGGTAAGCTCAGTGTACTGAGCAGCCACTTTTAAATGGAAAAACAATGATCATCAGAAGCAGAGCAGAGATTCCCAGTAAACTTGCAGTGATGCTTTGTGCCAGGGTGCACCAGATTATGGACTAAGGGCTGATTTGAGCCTGGCAGAACCTGAGGGATGTGGCATGGCTGGTGCTGGCACTAAAGACAGATTTGTATTCGCCTGGATAACCTGGGGCATCCTGCCATTTCTGTTAGAGAAAAGGAAATAATCGTGATTGTAAAGATTTGAGCAACAGGAATCCCAACCTTGTTCTACTCCTAGTTGTTCTAGGAGTAGAACAACTCTGTAAATCCCACAAAGGAGATTCCCCTTCCCCTAAAAAAGGCAAATTCAATGCTTTGCCCTGCTTTCTTTCTGCCTTTTGTGCCACCTGAATCAAGGTTCTTAATGGGAGGCATCTTTCTCTGAACAGGGAAGGAAGGTCCTAACTGTGAATGCCTTGTTTGTACCATCCACACCCTCGGGCTTGCCCAGCTCTTTGTGTCCTGTGTTAGGAGCTGGCAATGAAAAGAGCATTTGAAGGGCTCAAATGGGGTAGAAGGGAGACAGTAAAAATATGTTTGTGGAGGGGTTCTTAGATTAAAAAGGGTAGAGTAATGAGAAACAAGCTGGAGTTAATACATAATGAAGGACTTTATTTGAAAGTTGCGGTCACCAGTTGATGTGTGTCAGCATCTAAATCCCCCAGGCCATCTCTCAAAGGAGACGTGAGGGAAGAATTGCATCAGGGTTTGCCTTGGGCAGCAGCTCAGATCCTCTGTTCTTGATTGAAGGAAGATAAGGTTTTCAGGCCTTGATATTTCCTCCACAATAATTCAGATCCACAAGTTTGAGAACATCAAGAGAGATACATGATCCCTGGTTCAGTTGAGGTCCTAAACAAACAACACCAAAAATATTTTAAAAAAAAGAGGCACTGGCTAAGATGATTTTAAGTGCTCTGTGCATTCACTGACAGCCCTTAAACCTGGCACATTGCACTTGCCTTTTCAATCCCATTGAGCCCTTTCAGCTGCCAAAGCAACCTTAAAGCAAAGCAAGCACTGAGGACGTGGAATTACTGCTAAGCCAGAATGCAGCAGCTGGAGCCTGAGCTGCAGAATGTTTTCCAAAGGAGGGTTGGAGACCATCAGCTTGGAGAGAGGCTCAGAGTACTTGGATGGTGCCTGAGGATTAACTGCTCTGAGTATAAGAATTACTTGAATATATTTCAAAAGAATATTGGCTTTGAGCTCAATAGAAGAACTTCTGTGATTAAGAAACTGACACAGATTCAGTAGATTCATACACATCTCCATAATAAGAGCTGTCCTTCTACAAGGATGCATGTTCGTTGCTTACTTTGTGTCAGTCTCAAGGTGGAAAAGCAGCAACTGTGCATTGTTCATTCCCCAAGGGAAACAAATGCCAGGTCTGTTAGAATTCCTTTGCTTGTACTCACCATGAACCTCATAAGCCATGTAGGTGGTGAGCCCTCTGCACATAGCAAAGACCTCTGCTCCATAGGAGCTGAGGTTGCTGACCAATCCGTTGGTGACAAAGGTGATCTTCCTGGTGGGTCTTCCCAGGCCAACCTGGTTCTAAACAAAATCCAGCATTCAGCAGGGTCAGTGCCAGGATTGGTTCCTGCTGGGGCTGTTCCTTGCTCAGGAAGGATGACTCAGGGCTGGGTATTTCAGTCCCAACTGATTTTAGGGACAACTTTCAGGGGCACCTGGGCTGTCAGCTGGCAGAAGAAGTCTCCTCCTAATTCCTTTCTGCCCTACAGGCCTTCCTGCTATTGAAAATGTAGTTTTTTTACAGACTCAGCTCTCAGATTTCAAGGGAAGCTTCAGCTTTTAGCAAAGGTGAATCTGCTGAATGCTGAGATAATTTGTATAATGTCTGTGCTAATGCGAATGGCTGAACTTAAACATGGTGTATAGTCCTCTTCAAAAAGTTTGAAAGCTTACTAAAGCATTTTTTCTATAAAATTGAAATATTTTTTCTTCCTCAATTAGATATTCTGAAGAAAAATATTTTTCTAGACTTTGAGAAAGAGACTTTCTGAAACATACTTAGCAAAGAATTTAAAGTCTGGGTTACTAAGGTAGCATCAAATGTCAATTGAAATAATGATTTGAATAATTGTAAAAATAACCTAACTAATCTGAGACTTGGACTCAAAATAAACCTGCACTAAAGGCATCCAAATGAGAATATTGTAATTTCTGAAAGCCTTTGAATGATGTATCTGAAAAATATCACTGAAAACAACCATTAAAATGGCTTTTAATTTACCATTTGGTTAAGAGGGTTTTGAAAACAGCAGTGCTTTAGGCAAAAAAAAAGGAATTTCAAATACAGCACAATGTTCCAAGCAACTGCTGACTTTGAATCTTACCTTGTTGTCTGCAGCAAACCTGACAAGAGCATCAAAGGTGGGCATCTCACTCCTGTTCATGGTGGAAATGTAGCACGTTCTCTCTTGCACCAGTTTGGTTGCAATGATGCCCTGCAAAAATAAAACTTACTGAGCACTTGCAGTTTGGTTTTCCACCCAAAAAGAGGGGATAGACTCTGACTCACAAGAGTAAAAAATGCTGAGAGGTTCCACCCCTAATCCTGGACTCAGGATGGTGACAATACAGAAACATGCCCTGTCCCTGGGCCAGCTGTGCCAGCAGCCAGGCTCCCAGCAGAGCTTCTGAAGGAGCCCCCTCCCTGCCACTCACCGTGTTGTAGTTCCAGATGGTTTTCCAGGAGAACTGCTCGCTCCTTTGCTGGAAAATCACCTCATGGGTTTGACTGCTGAGGGTCATGTTTTGGAAAACACAGGCACCAGAGAAATGGCAGTTGTGACCTGGAATCTGCTGAGACTGAAAAGCCAAGAGAAAGCAGATGTTTCACCTTTGAAGGGAGACAGTGATGTCCCCAAAGCTTCTGGGAAATCCCTGCTGCCCCCTGGGAAGTGCTGGCACTGCCCTCAGTCTTTTCCAAAGGACCCAGAATCAAGGGTGCAAGCATTCCTTTTGAAGCATTCTGTGAATCGTTGCTGCATCTGACAGCTGCCGTCTGGTGCCTTTAGAGGTTGATGCATGCTAGAGCACTGGCCAGAGGCAATCCATGGTTACATTCCTGAACAGAAACCTCTGCTGACCCATTGCTCTGTTCCAGCATTGGCCCCTCAGCAGGAACTTCTCAAAAGTGGAGATGTCAGGCAAGAAGGGCATCAGGGTTGGCTCTGAGCAGCTTTGAGCCCCCAAATTGGTTCAAGAAAGGGAAGGGCTAAGGTTTTCTCACCTGTCCATTGCCATGGAAATTACCACTGCAGTAATGCAGGTCCACAACTTGCAGGACATCCAGGGTAATGCATGATCCCAGATTCACCTGGGGTCCTTGCACACCTGGAAAAGAAAAGAAAAAACACCATGAGGTGGTGCCAAAGACATTGACTGACCTTCTACAGGATAGTGGTGGTGTTGCCCAGAGCCAACCAGGTTCTGAAGAATTGCTGTTCTGGGAATGTTTGATCTGTATGAGGGACAGATTCTCTTGGAGTGCCTAAAGAGCACTGGCTCTGTGACTCAGCCAGGGATGCTCACCAAGACCTGCTCTTGAACACCCCTAGGGATTTCCTGTGCAGAAATTTGGGCTCTATTGCACTTTGTTCTGAGAGTCCCAATGGCTGGGCATTGCATGGTGAGGTTGCTGCCAGTTCATGGGCCCAGACTCATTAAGATTACTAGAAAGGAGCTGTAGGGTTTGGTTTGGGTCATTTATGGGGGCTGTTGAACCCTGTGTGCAACTGCTGAAGCCCCTGGCTTCTGTCTGACTTGAGGTGGAAATGTAGCAATTGTGCGTTGGTGATTCCTCAGGAGAGAAAAATTCCAGGTCACTCAGAGACACAATTCCTTGGCTTGCACTCACCATGAACTTCATAAGTCATGTAGGTGGTGAGCCCACTGCACATAGCAAAGACATCTGATCCATAAGACCTCAGGTTGTTCACCAATGCACTGGCAACAAAGGTGATCTTCTTGGTAGGTCTTCCGAAACCAATATGATTCTAAACACGAAATTACAGCAATTAGCGAGATAAGTGTCACAGCTGTTTCCTGCTAGGCATATTCCCCAGGGGAAAGGCTGTGGAACAGGGAGATGCTCTCTCACACCCCAAAGGAAAAGGGAGTCTGGCCAAGAGCAGCTACAACACCAAGCTCTGAGCTGACCAATGCAGTTTGGTACTGAAATGTCTTTGAAGGACTTTGAGATATTGGAATGCCAAGGGAATTAATGCCCTTGAAGGGCTCCTCATGGATAGCCTTGGCCCAGCAAGCTGCAAAGCTCAACCTCATCCTCAGAAAAAGTGGAGATGAGAAAGAGAATGGTGCAGCCCCTTTCTTCTTCCAGCAAAGCATTCCTCTGAAAAAATCCCACTAGTGTTGAGAGAAAGAAAATCCTGCCACTTGTGACAACATTCTCCTGTCCAGAAGGAAAAAGCAAATGAAAAATGGGGCAGTGAACTCCAGGATCAGGCATCTGCTACACCTTGGGAACCTTACCTTGCTCTCTTCTGCCAGGTGAGCCAGGTTGTCAAAGCGAGGCATCTCATTTCTGTTCATGGTGGAAATGTAACAGGCATTCTCTTGAGTGACTTTGGTTACAATGACACCCTGTGAAATAAGGTTATTGAGAACATGCACTTTAATCTTTCAAGCCTTAGGATTGTAAAAAACCTTTCTTAAAACCGGAAGAAGTGCAGGAAATTTCTACTTGAAACTGTGCGCTCAAAATGGTCAGAATAAGGAAACAATCACCATCCCTGGGCCAGCTGTACCAGCAGCCAGACTCCTTGGATGCTTTTGAAGGAGCCCCCTCCCTGCCACTCACCGTGTTGTAGTTCCAGATGGTTTTCCAGGACCCGCTGAAGCTCCTTTGCTCAATGACGGCCACACGCCATTGCCTGTTGATGGTCACAATTTGGGAGTTGCCACCAATGATGACTTGAGTGTTGTTGAAGATGCCACCTGGAATCTGCTGAGACTGAAAAGCCAAGGGAAAGCAGATATTTAGCCTTTGAAGAAAGGCAGTGATGTCCTCAGAGCAACTAAACCCCCTCCCATTTGGTTTAAGAAAGGTAAGGGTCAGGTTTTCTCACCTGATCATTGCCATTGCCTGTGCAGTACTTGAGATCCACAACTCCCAGGACATCAAGGGTAATGCAGGATCCCAGATTGACTTGGACTCCTTGGGAAGCAAGAAAGGAAGAAACAAAACCCCATGAGCTGATGCCTGAGACCTTGGCTGCCATTGAAATCATCAGTCAGCTCTGACCTGAAGGACAGCACTTCTTAGGGAGACACATTTCATTGACTGGGAATTACAGGGGAGCTCAGTGTCAGCTGAAACAATCTACGCCCCAAAATTCAGCCTTCTTAAGCTTCCAGGGAAGGAACTGCAAGGATTTGGTTTGGGTCATTTATGGGGGCTGTGACCCCACCGTGTTCCAGTCCTGATTTGCTAAGATGCTGAACCTTTTGTACAACTGCTGAAGCCCCTGGTTTCTGCCTGATTCAAAGTGGGAAAACACCAATTGTGCATCGGTCATTCCCCAAGGGAAACAAATGCCAGGTCTGTTAGAATTCCTTTGTTTGCACTTACCATGAACTTCATAAGTCATGTAGGTGGTGAGTCCACTGCACATAGAGAAGACATCTGATCCATAAGACCTGAGGTTGCTGACCAATCCATTGGTGACAAAGGTGATCTCTTTGGTAGGTCTTGGAACAAGAAACTGGTTCTAAACATCAAACACCAGCATTTGGCAAGATCAGAGCTGGGATCTGGTCCCTGCTAGGCATATTCCCTAGGGGAAAGGCTGAGGAATAGGGAGATGCTCTCTTGTGCCACAGAGGGAAAGGGATTGTGGCCAAGAGCAGCAGCCATGCAAAGTTCTGAGCTGAGCAATGCAGTTTGGTACTGAATAATCTCTGTAGGAATTTGAGAATTTGCATGTCAGGAGTATCAAGGCCCATAAATGGCTCCTCAGAGAAAGGCTGTGGCAAGCAAACTGCAGAGCTCAACATCGTCAGAGAAAGTGGAGATGAGGAAGGGAATGGTGCAGAAACTTTCAAGTTTCAGCAAAGCATTTCTCTGAAAAAATCCCAAGCCCCACTAGTGTTGAGAGAAAGAAAATCCAGCCACTTGTGCCCACATTCTCCTCTCCAGAAGGAAAAAGCACACGAGGAATTGGGCCAATGAACTCCAGGGTCAGGACTAGGCTACTCCTTGGGAACCTTACCCTGCTCAATTCTGCCAGGTGAACCAGGTTGTCAAAGCGAGGAATCTCATTTCTGTTCATGGTGGAAATGTAGCAGGCATTCTGCTGAGTGACTTTGGTTACAATGATGCCCTGGAAAATAAAGTTATTGAGAACATGCACTTTAGTCTTTCAAGCCTTGGGACTGTAAAAAACCTTCCTTAAAACCAGAAGAAGTGCAGGAAATTTCTACTTGAAATTGTGAGCTCAAAATAGTCAAAATAAGGAAACAATCACCATCCCTGGGCCAGCTGTACCAGCAGCCAGACGCCTTGGATGCTTTTGAAGGAGCCCCCTCCGTGCCACTCACTGTGTTGTAGTTCCAGATGGTTTTCCAGGACTTGCTGAAGCTCCTTTGCTCAATGACGGCCACACGCCATTGCCTGTTGATGGTCACAATTTGGGACTGGCCACCAATGATGACGACATGTGTTTGGCTGCCCTGTGTGTTGTTGAAGATGCCACCAGGAATCTGCTGAGACTGAAAAGCCAAGGGAAAGCAGATATTTAGCCTTTGAAGAAAGGCAGTGATGTCCTCAGAGCATCTGAAGCCCCCTCCCATTTGGTTCAAGAAATGTAAGGGTCAGGTTTTCTCACCTGATCATTGCCATTGCCTGTGCAGTATTTCAGATCCACGACTCTCAGGACATCCAGGGTAATGCAGGATCCCAGATTGACTTGGACTCCTTGGGAAGCAAGAAAGGAAGAAACAAAACCCCATGAGCTGATGCCTGAGACCTTGGCTGCCATTGAAATCGTCAGTCAGCTCTGACCTGAAGGACAGCACTTCTTAGGGCAATGCTTTTCCTTGACTGGGAATTACAGGGGAGCTCAGTGTCACCTGAAATACTCTGGGCCCAAATTTAAGCCTCGTTACGCTTCCTGGGAAGGAGCTGTAAGGGTATGGTTTGGTTCAATAATCAGGGGCTGTGACCCCACCCTGTTCCAATCCTGATCTGCAAAGATGTTGAACCCTTTGTGCAACTGCTGAAGCCCCTGGTTTCTGTGGGTTTTGAGGTGGAAGGGCAGCAACTATCCATTGGTCATTCCCCAAGGGAAACAAATGCCAAGTCACTTAGAGACAGAATTCCTTTGTTTGCACTTACCATGAACTTCGTAAGTCATGTAGGTGGTGAGTCCACTGCACATAGAGAAGACATCTGATCCATAGGACCTGAGGTTGCTGACCAATCCATTGGTGACAAAGGTGATCTTCTTGGTAGGTCTTCCAAGACCAAACTGGTTCTAAACATCAAATACCCGCATGCAGCAAGGTCAGAGCTGGGATCTGGTCCCTGCTAGGCATATTCCCTAGGGGAAAGGCTGAGAAATACAGAGGTGCTCTCTCACACTCCAGAGGAAAGGGAGTCTGGCCAAGAGCAGCTGCAACAGCAAGTTCTGAGCTGACCAATGCAGTTTGGTACTGAAATGTCTGTGAAGAAATTTGAGATCTTGGCATGCCAAGAGAATGAAAGCCCTTGAAGGGCTTCTCAGTGAAAGGCTTTGCCCAGGAATCTGCAGAGCTCAAGATTCTCAGACGAATTTGAACTTGGGGACGGAATATTGCAGCCCCTTTATTTTTTCAGCAAAGCATTCTTATGAAAAATTTCCAAGCCCCACTACTGTTGAGAGGAAGAAAATACTGCCACATGTGAAAATCTTGCCCTCTCCTGCAGATGCAATCACATGAAGATATTTCCCAGTTAAATCCAGGGTCAGGACTTTGTTACCCCTTGGGAACCTTACCTTGCTCTCTTGTGCCAGGTGAGCCAGGTTATCATAGAGGGGCATCTCATTTCTGTTCATGGTGGAAATGTAGCAGGCATTCTGCTGAGTGACTTTGGTTACAATGATGCCCTGGGAAATGAAAATATTAATAAATCGCTCTTCAGTCTTTCATTCATTGGAATTGGAGAAAACCCTCTGTTAAAACAGAAACAATTACCAAGCATTCCTATCACAAATTGTGCACTCAACTTAGCCAGAAAAAGGAAACAATCCCCATCCCTCTGCCAGTTCTATTAGGAACCAGTCTCCTCCTATGCTTTGTGAACAAGTCCCCTCCCTGCCACTCACCGTGTTGTAGTTCCAGATGGTTTTCCAGGACCCAATGCCAGCCTTTTTCTCAATGATGGCCACACGCCATTGCCTGTTGATGGTCACAATCTGGGACTGGCCACCAATGATGACGAGGTGTGAGTTGCCCTCACCACCGGGAATCTGCTGAGACTGAAAACCAAAGGAGAGAAGATGTTCTACCTTTGAACGGAGACACTGATATCCCCAAAGCTTCTGAAAAATCCCTGCTACAATGGAAAAAGTTCTGTCCTCTGGGAAATGCCTTCCCTGCACTCAATCTTTTTTAAAGGACCCAGAATCAAGGCTGTGGTGCTGGGCAGAGGGTCTAAGGAGAACTGGCCACAGTTAATCCGTGCTCAAGCTCCCGGATGGAATCCTGTTCTGACCGATTTTTTGTTTCAGTATCTGATCCCTTGAGCAGGAACCTCTCAAGAGAGGAGATGCCAGGCAAGAAGGGCATCAGGGTTGGCTTTGGGCAGCAGCTCAGGTTCTCCTTCCCATTTGGTTCAAGTAGGTAAGGGTCACGTTTTCTCACCTGTCCATTGCCATTGCCAGTGCAGTATTTCAGATCCACGACTCTCAGGACATCGAGGGTAATGCAGGATCCCAGATTGACTTGGTGTCCTTGCAAAGCAAGAAAGGAAGAAACAAAACCCCATGAGCGAATGCCTGAGACCTGGGCTGCCATTGAAATCATCAGTCAGCTCTGACTGAAGGACAGCTGGTGACATTTAGAGTGACAGTTTTACTGACTGGGCATTACAGGGGAGCTCAGTGTCACCTGAAAAACTCTGGCCCCAAAATTAAACCTCCTAAAGCTTTCTGGAAATGAGCTCTGAGGATCATTTATGGGGGCTGTTACCCCACCCTGTTCCAGTCCAGATCCGCAAAGATCCTGAACCCTTTGTACAACTGCTGAAGCCCCTGGTTTCTGGCTGAATCAAGGTGAGAGAACACCAATTGTGCATTGGTCATTCCCCAAGGAAAACAAATGCCAGGTCTGTCAGAATTCCTTTGCTTGTACTCACCATGAACTTCATAAGCCATGTAGGTGGTGAGTCCACTGCACATAGAGAAGACATCTGATCCATAAGACCTGAGATTGCTGACCAATCCATTGGTGACAAAGGTGATCTTCTTGGTAGGTCTTCCAAGACCAAACTGGTTCTAAACAAAAAACAGAATTCAGCAGGATCAGTGCTGGGATGTGGTTGTGGCTGGGCACATTCCCAAGGGGAAAGCCTGAACAATAGGGAGATGCTCTCTCGCATCCCAAAGGGAAAGGGATTGTGGCCCAGAGCAGCAGCCATGCAAAGTTCTGAGCTGACCAATACATTTTGTATTGAAAGGCCTGCAAAGGTCTTTAAGGTCCTGGCATGCAAAAGAATTAAGGAACTCATAGAGCTACTCAGCGAAAGTGTTTTCAGCAAACTGCAGAGCTCAATGTTCTCAGGGAATTTAGAACTCGGTAAAGGTAATGTGCAACCCTTTTCCTCTTTCAGCAAAGCATTCCTCTGAAAAAATCCCAAGCCCCATTAGTGTTCAGAGAAAGAAAATCCAGCTACTTGTGACCAACTCATCCTGTCCATAAGGTGAAAGCACATGAAGAAATGGATCAATGAACTCAAGGGGAAGGACTCTGCTGCTCCTTGGGAACCTTACCTTGCTCTCTTCTGCCAGCTGGGCCAGATTATTGAAGCTGAGCATCTCATTCCTGTTCATGATGGAAATGTAGCAGGTGTTCTGTTGAGTGACTTTGGTTGCAATGATGCCCTGTGAAATGAAATTATTGAGTACTTGGATTTCATTTTTTCATGTCCTGATATTGGAGAAAACTCTTTGTTAGAACAGAAGAGCAGGCTAAGAGTTCCTACCCAAAATTTTGCACTCAATACAGTCAGAATAAGGAAACAAGCCCCATCACTGGGACAGCTCTACCTGCTGCCAGTCTCCTCATTTGTTTTTTGAACAAGTCACCCATGCCACTCACTGTGTTGTAGTTCCAGATGGTTTTCCAGGACCCACTGATGCTCGTTTGTTCAATGATTGCCACACGCCATTGCCTGTTGATGGTCACAATTTGGGAGTGGCCACCAATGATGACGACATGTGTTTGGCTGCCCTGTGTGTTGTTGAAGATGCCACCAGGAATCTGCTGAGACTGAAAAGCCAAGGGAAAGCAGATATTTAGCCTTTGAAGAAAGGCAGTGATGTCCTCAGAGCATCTGAAGCCCCCTCCCATTTGGTTTAAGAAAGGTAAGGGTCAGGTTTTCTCACCTGATCATTGCCATTGCCTGTGCAGTATTTCAGATCCACGACTCCAAGGACATCCAGGGTAATGCAGGATCCCAGATTGACTTGGACTCCTTGGGAAGCAAGAATGGAAGAAACAAAACCCCATGAGCTGATGCCTGAGACCTTGGCTGCCATTTAAATCATCAGTCAGGTCTGACCTGAAGGACAGCTCGCGACACTTAGGGAGACACATTTTATTGCCTGGGCATTACAGGGGAGCCCAGTGGCAGCTGAAACACTCTACACCCAAAATTAAGTCTCCGTTAAGATTCTGGAAAGGAACTGCAAGGCTTTGGTTTGAGTCATTTACAGGGGACTGTTACCCCACCCTGTTCCAGTCCTGATCTGCAAAGATCCTGAACCCTTTGTACAATTGCTGAAGCCCCTGGTTTCTCTCTGAATCAATGTGGAAGAACACCAATTGTGCATTGGTCATTCCTTAGGGCAAACAAATGCCAGGTCTGTTAGAATTCCTTTGCTTGCACTCACCATGAACTTCATAAGTCATGTAAGTGGTGAGTCCACTGCACATAGAGAAGACATCTGATCCATAAGACCTGAGGTTGCTGACCAATCCATTGGTGACAAAGGTGATCTTCTTGGTAGGTCTTCCAAGACCAAACTGGTTCTAAACAAAAAACAGCATTCAGCAGGATCAGTGCAGGGATGTGGTTGTGGCTCACATTCCCTCTGGCAAAGGCTGAGGAATAAGGAGATAGCTTCACAGCTCAATGTTCTTAGGGAAATCCGAAATCAGAAAAGGAATGTGCAACCCTTTTCCTCTGTCAGCAAAGCATTCCTATGGAAAATTCCCAAGCGCACATACTGTTCAGAGAAAGAACATCCAGCCACTTGTGACCAACTCATCCTGTCCATAAGATAAAAGCACAGGAAGAAATGGATCAATGAACTCCCAAGTCAAGGCTCTGGTACTCCTTGGGAACCTTACCTTGGTCTCTTCTGCCAGGTGCACCAGATTATTGAAGCTGAGCATCTCATTCCTGTTCATGATGGAAATGTAGCAGGTGTTCTGTTGAGTGACTTTGGTTGCAATGATACCCTGTAAAATGAAATCATTGAGTACTTGGATTTCATTTTTTCATGTCCTGATACTGGAGAAAACCCTTTGTGAGAACAGAAGAGCAGGCCAAGAGTTCCTACCCAAAATTTTGCACTCGATACAGTCAGAATAAGGAAACAAGCCCCATCACTGGGACAGCTCTACCTGCTGCCAGTCTCCTCATTTGTTTTTTGAACAAGTCACCCATGCCACTCACCGTGTTGTAGTTCCAGATGGTTTTCCAGGACCCACTGATGCTCGTTTGTTCAATGATTGCCACACGCCATTGCCTGTTGATGGTCACAATTTGGGAGTGGCCACCAATGATGACGACATGTGTTTGGCTGCCCTGTGTGTTGTTGAAGATGCCACCAGGAATCTGCTGAGACTGAAAAGCCAAGGGAAAGCAGATATTTAGCCTTTGAAGAAAGGCAGTGATGTCCTCAGAGCATCTGAAGCCCCCTCCCATTTGGTTTAAGAAAGGTAAGGGTCAGGTTTTCTCACCTGATCATTGCCATTGCCTGTGCAGTATTTCAGATCCACGACTCCAAGGACATCCAGGGTAATGCAGGATCCCAGATTGACTTGGACTCCTTGGGAAGCAAGAAAGGAAGAAACAAAACCCCATGAGCTGATGCCTGAGACCTTGGCTGCCATTGAAATCGTCAGTCAGCTCTGACCTGAAGTACAACAGTTCTTAGGGAGACACATTTTATTGCCTGGGCATTACAGGGGAGCTCAGTGTCAGCTGAAACAATCTACGCCCCAAAATTCAGCCTCCTTAAGCTTCCTGGGAAGGAGCTGAAAGGGTTTGCTTTGGGTCATTTATGGGGATTTTGACCCCACCCTGTTCCAGTCCTGATCTGCAAAGATCCTGAACCCTTTGTACAATTGCTGAAACCCCTGGTTTCTCTCTGAATCAATGTGGAAGAACACCAGTTGTGCATTGGTCATTCACCAAGGGAAACAAATGCCAGGTCTGTTAGAATTCCTTGGCTTGCACTCACCGTGAACTTCATAAGTCATGTAAGTGGTGAGTCCACTGCACATAGAGAAGACATCTGATCCATAAGACATGAGGTTGCTGACCAATCCATTGGTGACAAAGGTGATCTTCCTGGTAGGTCTTCCAAGACCAAACTGGTTCTAAACAAAAAACAGCATTCAGCAGGATCAGTGCAGGGTTGTGGTTGTGGCTCACATTCCCTAGGGCAAAGGTTGAGGAATAAGGAGATAGCTTCACAGCTCAATGTTCTCAGGGAAATCCGAAATCAGAAAAGGAATGTGCAACCCTTTTCCTCTGTCAGCAAAGCATTCCTATGGAAAATTCCCAAGCGCACATACTGTTCAGAGAAAGAACATCCAGCCACTTGTGACCAACTCATCCTGTCCAGAAGTTGAAAGCACATGAAGAAATGGATCAATGAACTCCCAAGTCAAGGCTCTGGTACTCCTTGGGAACCTTACCTTGGTCTCTTCTGCCAGGTGCACCAGATTATTGAAGCTGAGCATCTCATTCCTGTTCATGATGGAAATGTAGCAGGTGTTCTGTTGAGTGACTTTGGTTGCAATGATACCCTGTAAAATGAAATCATTGAGTACTTGGATTTCATTTTTTCATGTCCTGATATTGGAGAAAACCCTTTGTGAGAACAGAAGAGGAGACCAAGAGTTCCTACCCAAAATTTTGCACTCGATACAGTCAGAATAAGGAAACAAGCCCCATCACTGGGACAGCTCTACCTGCTGCCAGTCTCCTCATTTGTGTTTTGAACAAGTCACCCATGCCACTCACTGTGTTGTAGTTCCAGATGGTTTTCCAGGACCCACTGATGCTCGTTTGTTCAATGATTGCCACACGCCATTGCCTGTTGATGGTCACAATTTGGGAGTGGCCACCAATGATGACGACATGTGTTTGGCTGCCCTGTGTGTTGTTGAAGATGCCACCAGGAATCTGCTGAGACTGAAAAGCCAAGGGAAAGCAGATATTTAGCCTTTGAAAAAAGACAGTGATGTCCCCAAAGCATCTGAAGCCCCCTCCCAATTTGGTTTAAGAAAGGTAAGGGTCAGGTTTTCTCACCTGATCATTGCCATTGCCTGTGCAGTATTTCAGATCCACGACTCCCAGGACATCCAGGGTAATGCAGGATCCCAGATTGACTTGGACTCCTTGGGAAGCAAGAATGGAAGAAACAAAACCCCATGAGCTGATGCCTGAGACCTTGGCTGCCATTGAAATCGTCAGTCAGCTCTGACCTGAAGTACAACAGTTCTTAGGGAGACATATTTTATTGCCTGGGCATTACAGGGGAGCTCAGTGTCAGCTGAAACAATCTACGCCCCAAAATTCAGCCTCCTTAAGCTTCCTGGGAAGGAGCTGAAAGGGTTTGCTTTGGGTCATTTATGGGGATTGTGAATCCACCGTGTTCCAGTCCTGATCTGCAAAGATCCTGAACCCTTTGTGCAATTGCTGAAGCCCCTGGTTTCTCTCTGAATCAATGTGGAAGAACACCAGTTGTGCATTGGTGATTCCTTAGGGCAAACAAATGCCAGGTCTGTTAGAATTCCTTGGCTTGCACTCACCGTGAACTTCATAAGTCATGTAAGTGGTGAGTCCACTGCACATAGAGAAGACATCTGATCCATAAGACCTGAGGTTGCTGACCAATCCATTGGTGACAAAGGTGATCTTCTTGGTAGGTCTTCCAAGACCAAACTGGTTCTAAACAAAAAACAGCATTCAGCAGGATCAGTGCAGGGTTGTGGTTGTGGCTCACATTCCCTAGGGCAAAGGCTGAGGAATAAGGAGATAGCTTCACAGCTCAATGTTCTCAGGGAAATCCGAAATCAGAAAAGGAATGTGCAACCCTTTTCCTCTTTCAGCAAAGCATTCCTATGGAAAATTCCCAAGCGCACATACTGTTCAGAGAAAGAATATCCAGCCACTTGTGACCAACTCATCCTGTCCAGAAGTTGAAAGCACATGAAGAAATGGATCAATGAACTCCCAAGTCAAGGCTCTGGTACTCCTTGGGAACCTTACCTTGGTCTCTTCTGCCAGGTGCACCAGATTATTGAAGCTGAGCATCTCATTCCTGTTCATGATGGAAATGTAGCAGGTGTTCTGTTGAGTGACTTTGGTTGCAATGATACCCTGTAAAATGAAATCATTGAGTACTTGGATTTCATTTTTTCATGTCCTGATATTGGAGAAAACCCTTTGTGAGAACAGAAGAGCAGGCCAAGAGTTCCTACCCAAAATTTTGCACTCGATACAGTCAGAATAAGGAAACAAGCCCCATCACTGGGACAGCTCTACCTGCTGCCAGTCTCCTCATTTGTGTTTTGAACAAGTCACGCATGCCACTCACTGTGTTGTAGTTCCAGATGGTTTTCCAGGACCCACTGATGCTCGTTTGTTCAATGATTGCCACACGCCATTGCCTGTTGATGGTCACAATTTGGGACTGGCCACCAATGATGACGACATGTGTTTGGCTGCCCTGTGTGTTGTTGAAGATGCCACCAGGAATCTGCTGAGACTGAAAAGCCAAGGAAAAGCAGATATTTAGCCTTTGAAGAAAGGCAGTGATGTCCTCAGAGCATCTGAAGCCCCCTCCCATTTGGTTTAAGAAAGGTAAGGGTCAGGTTTTCTCACCTGATCATTGCCATTGCCTGTGCAGTATTTCAGATCCACGACTCCAAGGACATCCAGGGTAATGCAGGATCCCAGGTTGGCTTGGACTCCTTGGGAAGCAAGAATGGAAGAAACAAAACCCCATGAGCTGATGCCTGAGACCTTGGCTGCCATTGAAATCGTCAGTCAGCTCTGACCTGAAGTACAACAGTTCTTAGGGAGACACATTTTATTGCCTGGGCATTACAGGGGAGCTCAGTGTCAGCTGAAACAATCTACGCCCCAAAATTCAGCCTCCTTAAGCTTCCTGGGAAGGAGCTGAAAGGGTTTGCTTTGGGTCATTTATGGGGATTGTGAATCCACCGTGTTCCAGTCCTGATCTGCAAAGATCCTGAACCCTTTGTACAATTGCTGAAGCCCCTGGTTTCTCTCTGAATCAATGTGGAAGAACACCAGTTGTGCATTGGTCATTCACCAAGGGAAACAAATGCCAGGTCTGTTAGAATTCCTTTGCTTGCACTCACCATGAACTTCATAAGTCATGTAAGTGGTGAGTCCACTGCACATAGAGAAGACATCTGATCCATAAGACCTGAGGTTGCTGACCAATCCATTGGTGACAAAGGTGATCTTCCTGGTAGGTCTTCCAAGACCAAACTGGTTCTAAACAAAAAACAGCATTCAGCAGGATCAGTGCTGGGATGTGGTTGTGGCTGGGCACATTCCCCAGGGGAAAGCCTGAGCAATAGGGAGATGCTCTCTCACCTCCTAAAGGGAAAGGGATTGTGGCCCAGAGCAGCAGCCATGCAAAGTTCTGAGCTGACCAATGCATTTTGTATTGAAAGGCCTGCAAAGGTCTTTAAAATCCTGGCATGCCAAAAGAATTAAGGACCTCATAGAGCGGCTCAGAGAAAGTGTTTTAAGCAAGCTCCACAGCTCAATGTTCTCAGGGAAATCCAAAATCCGAATAAGAATGTGTAACCCTTTTCCTCTTTCAGCAAAGCATTCCTATGGAACATTCCCAAACCTACACACTGTTCAGACAAAGAAAATCCAGGCACTTGTGACCAACTCATCCTGTCAGGAAGGCGAGAGCACATGAAGAAATGGATCAGTGAACTCCAGGGGCAGGACTCTGCTTCCCCTTGGGGACCTTACCTTGCTCTCTTCTGCCAGGTGAGCCAGATTCTCAAAGCTGGGCATCTCATTCCTGTTCATGATGGAAATGTAGCAGGCGTTCTGCTGAGTGACTTTACTTGCAATGACGCCCTGTGAAATGAAATCATTGAGTACTTGGATTTCATTTTTTCATGTCCTGATATTGGAAAAAACCCTTTGTTAGAACAGAAGAGCAGGCCAAGAGTTCCTACCCAAAATTTTGCACTCAATACGGTCAGAATAAGGAAACAAGCCCCATCACTGGGACAGCTCTGCCTGCTGCCAGTCTCCTCATTTGTTTTTTGAACAAGTCACCCATGCCACTCACCGTGTTGTAGTTCCAGATGGTTTTCCAGGACCCACTGATGCTCGTTTGTTCAATGATTGCCACACGCCATTGCCTGTTGATTGTCACAATTTGGGACTGGCCACCAATGATGACGACATGTGTTTGGCTGCCCTGCGTGTTGTTGAAGATGCCACCAGGAATCTGCTGAGACTGAAAAGCCAAGGGAAAGCAGATATTTAGCCTTTGAAGGAAGGCAGTGATGTCCTCAGAGCATCTGAAGCCCTCCCAATTTGGTTCAAGAAAGGTAAGGGTCAGGTTTTCTCACCTGATCATTGCCATAGCCAGTGCAGTACTTGAAATCCACGACTCCAAGGACATCCAGGGTAATGCAGGATCCCAGATTGGCTTGGACTCCTTGGGAAGCAAGAAAGGAAGAAACAAAACCCCATGAGCTGATGCCTGAGACCGGGGCTGCCATTGAAATCATCAGTCAGCTCTGACCTGAAGGACAGCACTTCTTAGGGAAACATTTTTATTGACTGGGCATACAGGGGAGTCCAGTGTCACCTGAAACAATCTACACCCCAAAATTAAGCCTCTTTAAGCTTCCTGGGAAGGAGCTGAAAGGGTTGGTTTGGGTCATTTATGGGGATTGTGACTCCACCGTGTTCCAGTCCTGATTTGCTAAGAGGTTGAACTACTTGTGCAACTCCTGAAGCCCCTGGTTTCTGCCTGAATCAAGGTGGGAAAACACCAATTGTGCATTGCTCATTCCCCAAGGGAAACAAATGCCAGGTCTGTTAGAATTCCTTGGCTTGCACTCACCGTGAACTTCATAAGTCATGTAAGTGGTGAGTCCACTGCACATAGAGAAGACATCTGATCCATAAGACCTGAGGTTGCTGACCAATCCATTGGTGACAAAGGTGATCTTCTTGGTAGGTCTTCCAAGACCAAACTGGTTCTAAACAAAAAACAGCATTCAGCAGGATCAGTGCTGGGATGTGGTTGTGGCTGGGCACATTCCCCAGGGGAAAGCCTGAGCAATAGGGAGATGCTCTCTCGCACCTCAGAGGGAAAGGGAGTCTGGCCAAGAGCAGCAGCCATGCAAAGTTCTGAGCTGACCAATATAGTTTGGTATTGAAAAGCCTGTGAGGGACTTTAAGATCCTGACATGCCAAAAGAATTAAGGACCTCATAGAGCTGCTCAGAGGAATTGTTTTCAGCAAGCTCCATAGCTCAATGTTCTCAGGGAATTTAGAACTCGGTAAGGTAATGTGCAACTCTTTTCCTCTTTCAGCAAAGCATTCGTCTGAAAAAATTCCAAGCCCCATTAGTGTTCAGAGAAAGAAAATCCAGCCACTTGTGACCAACTGATCCTGTCCAGAAGGTAAAAGCACAGGAAGAAATGGATCAATGAACTCCAGGGGCAGGACTCTGCTACTCCTTTGGTACCTTACCTTGCTCTCTTCTGCCAGGCGGGCCAGATTATTGAAGCTGGGCATCTCATTTCTGTTCATGATGGAAATGTAGCAAGTGTTCTGTTGAATGACTTTGGTTGCAATGATACCCTGTAAAATAAAATTATTTAGCATTCTCACTTCCTTCTTTCAAGCCTTGGCATTGAAAAAACCCCTTTGTTAAAAGAGGAATGATTGCTGGGATTTCCTACCCAAAATTTTGCACTCAATGTGGTTCGAATAAGGAAACAAGCCCTGTGCCATGGGCCAGCTCTACCTGCAGGCAGTGTCTTGTGAACAAGTCACCCATGCCACTCACCGTGTTGTAGTTCCAGATGGTTCTCCAGGACCCAGTGAAGCTCCTTTGCTCAATGATTGCCACACGCCATTGCCTGTTGATGGTCACAATTTGGGAGCGGCCACCAATGATGACTTGAGTGTTGTTGAAAATGTTGCCCTGCGTGTTGTTGAAGATGCCACCAGGAATCTGCTGAGACTGAAAAGCCAAGGGAAGGAAGACATTTCATCATTGAACGGAGACACTGATGTCCCCAAAACTTCTTAAAAATCCCTGCTTCTATGGAACAAGTTCAACCCCCAGGAAGCCTCAATTTTTTCCAAAGGACCCAGAATCAAGCTTTGGCAGTGGGCAGAGGCTCTGAAAATTCTTTTCATGGATTCAGTGATTCATTGCTGCGTCTGACAACTGTCATCAGGCGGCTTTAAATGCTGATGTGTGCAAGAGCACTGGCTATAGTAAATCCTTTCTCAAAGGTCTTGGATGGAAATCTCTGCTGCCCCATTGCTCTCTTTCACCATCTGCACCCTCAAAAAGGAACCTCTCAAAAGAGGAGATTCCAGGCAAGAAGGACAACAGGGCTGGCTTTGGGCAGCAGCTCTGGAAACTCCAGCATTTAATACATGAAAAGGAAAGGGCTAAGGTTTTCTCACCGGGATATTGCCATTCCAGTTGCCATTGCCACCACAGTAATCCAGCTCCACAATTCTCAGAACATCCAGGGTAATGCATGATCCCAGATTCACCTGGGGTCCTTGCAAATCTGGAAAAGAAAAGACAAAACCCCATGAGCTGATGCCTAAGATATTGATTGACCTTCTACAGGAGGATGGTGGTGTTGCTCAGAGCCAGCCAGGTTCTGAAGAATTGCTGTTCTGGGAATGCTTGAGTTATATGAGGGACAGATTCTCTTGGAGTGCCTAAAGAGCACTGGCTCTGTGACTCAGCCAGGGATGCTCACCAAGACCTGCTCTTGAACACCCTTAGGGATTTCCTGTGCAGAAATTTGGGCTCTATTGCACTTTGTTCTGAGAGTCCCAATGGCTGGGCATTGCATGGTGAGGTTGCTGCCGATCCATGGGCCCAGTCACATGGGCTGTGACATTCTGGAAGAATCCTACCATGTGTAGTTCATTAAACTCTGGGGAATGGGATCATTGTCCATGGGGAAAACTTACAGGGGAGGAAGCCACTTGGTTTAGCACAAGGCTTTGGTGCCTGCCTGGATCAACTCAGCAAGCTTTGTTCTGAAGGACAGCAGTTCTTAGGTCAACCCTTTTTCTTGTCTGGGTATTTCAGGGCAGTGCAGAGTGAGCCAAAACACCGGGCCCAAATTTATACCCCACTAAGCTTGCTGGAGAGGAGCTGTAAGGGTTTAGTTTGGATCATTTATGGGGGTTGTGACCCCACCCTGTTCCAGTCTTGATCTGCCAAGGTGCCAAACCCTTTGTACAACTGCTGAAGCCCTTGGTTTCTGTCTGGCCCAAAGTGGAAGAGCAGCATCTGTGCCTGAGTCATGCCCCAGGAGACAAAAAGGCCGGGTCAGTAACACTCAGAATTGCCATGCTTGCACTCACTGTGAACTTCGGTAGCCATGTAGGTGGTGAGTCCACTGCACATAGCTGAGATTTCTATTCCATAGGAGCTGAGGTTGTTGACCAGTCCATTGGTGACAAAGGTGATCTTCTTGCTAGGTCTTCCAAGACCCATCTGGTTCTAAACAGAAAATACCAACATTCAGCAAGATAATACAGAATAATGTAACTGCAAAATATTACCAAAAGTCTCAGCAATAAAATGTCTTATTATTTACCCATTGGTTAAGAAGGCTTGTAAAATAGTCTCAGACAAAAAAAATGAATATCAACTACAGTAAGATATTTTGAATCTTACCCCATTCTGTGAAGCCATGTGGGCCAGATTCTCAAAGCTGGGCATCTCATTTCTGTTCATGACAGAAATGTAGCAGGTGTTCTGTTGCACCAATTTGGTTGCAATGATACCCTGTAAGAAAAAGTTATTAATCACTTGCAATTCAGTTTTTTAAGTCTTGGGACTGGAGAAAATCCTTTGTTAAAACAGGAACAAATGCCAAGGGTTGCTGCTCCAGATCATGGGCTCCAGATGTACAGAATAAGGAAACAATCCCCATTCCTGGGCCAGCTCTACCAGGAGCCAGTCTCCTCACGTGCTTTGTGAACAAGCCTCCTCCCTGCCACTCACCGTGTTGTAGTTCCAGACGGTTTTCCATGAGAACTGGTTGCTCCTTTGTTCAATAACCACCACACGTGTCAGACTACTGAGAGTCAGATTTTGGAAAACACCACCAACAGAGACCTGGCAGTTGTTGCCTGACTGCTGAGACTGAAAAGCCAAGGGGAAGAAGATGTTTAGTCTGAAGGGAGGCAGTGATGTCCCCACAGTGTTAGAAAAATCCCTGCTACATTGGAAGGGCTGCTCTCTGCTAAGTGCCATCACAATCTGTGGTTGGCCACTAGTGATGGGGACCTCGGTTTCTACCCCGAGGATGACTTGCTGATTTTCAATTATTTGCTGAGACTCAATTAAAAAATGAGACATTTTTAGATTTTCAAGCTAGTCAGTGATCTCCTAAAATTTTAACAAAAATCTTTGCTAGACTAGAATAAGTTCTACCACATAGAGAGTGCCAGAGTTTCATCTGTCAGAGAAGATTTCAATTTGTTTCCTCCAAAGGGGTGGTGAAAGAAAAAGGATATCTCATGAAGCAGGGAACATAGAAAGAGCAGCATTGTGGAATTGTTCATTTGTACTCACATAATCAGCAAGGGCTGGAGTCAGGATGAGTCCTAGAAGGACTGCAGTCCAAATCTGAAATAAAAATCAAATGCAAAAGTGTAACTGCAGCTCTGGCTGACAAATCTGGTCATGAGAATCCTCCTTTTCTTTTCCTAATCTGATGTTCAAGGGTCCTCCTTAGATCCCTTTTTTGCTTTCAATCTGGGATTGCATCAAAGGGAGGCACCCTTGCTTTACCCCAGGCTGCTCAAAGTAGACACATTTTACACTTGCTCTTTCAAGAGCTGAACCTCAAGTTGTTTCTCAGAGCTGTGCAGGCACACACAGGTATTTCACAAGAGTGAGGAGAAAGCTTTTCCATTTCTTCTGCTCTGGCATTACAGGGAAGGGGTTGATGCCCTAGTGCAGTGCTCAAGTGGTGCAAAAGCATTGACAATAAGCCCTTCTGAGAGATAAAGGAATGGGTTTGAATCAAAGTTTCAGTTCATAAGGAAGAAAAGCATGCATACTTACAGAGAGATGCATCCTGACTGCAGAGCTGATGCTGCTGCAAGTAGGAAGAACAATGTGAGCCCTCCACCTTTTATATGTTTTCAGAATTAGGTGTGGAAGGAGTGAATGTTGCAATAAAATTATTTTGTGATTTGTATCCCTGCTGCATTTCACTGAAAATTATTTCCTGCTGTAACTACTTGATAAACACGGGGATTATACTTCTGCAAATTTCGACTTGATAATTATCAGATAAACCTCCATTTCTAGTAAAATATTAAATATGCTTTGCAGTAACTTTCTGACATGTACTAATTACTTCTGAAACTTTACATCAAACTTACAATCAGAGATAGCCTTGGCTTTAAGCAAACAAAAAAACCCGCTTTCACTTAGTCTGAATAAATAAAAGCCTTTACACTTTCCAAATTGCACTTCATGTTCTTTGTAACCATAGAACCCACAAAAACACGTGCCCCAAGTACAACATGGCCACTGAAGACTGTTTTACCAGAATCACAGAGAACCCACAAGAATCATCAGGTCCAGCTCCTGGGCCTGAACAAGAACAGTCCCCAGGAGTCCCACCTGGGAATATTGTCCAAACACTCCTTTGTGGGGGAATAGAATGTGAGAAAATAAAGATAGTGCAGAAGGTAATCTCACCCCTGAGGAGTTGCAGCTGTACTAATTACCAGAGATTAGGAGCAGGCCTGCCCTTAACAGGCCACACTGTGCCCAATGAGGATGAGTGCTATAAAAGAGGGGGTTAGCTGGGTAAGGAGGGAGCTGGGGATTGTTGCTTGTGTTGTGAAGAGAGCTGCAGGTCATTGCCTGTGCAGAAGAAGGAGTCAGTGCTGTGAGGAGCTGTCCATGAGAAATCACTGAGGAGGTATGGGACTTTTGCAATACAATGACAACACTCCTTGAGCTCCATCTGGCTTGGTCCTGTGACAGCTTTTCTGGGAGCCTGTTCCAGCTCCCAAGCACCCTCTGGGTGAAGAACATTTTTCTAATATCCAACCTAAACCTCCCCTGACCCAGCCCCAGCCATTCCCTTGGGTCATGTCACTCATTACAGACAGGAGAGATGGGAGATCTCCTTCTCCATAGCTCCTTGGAGGATGTTAAAGAGCTCCATCTCCCCTCTGCCTCCTCCACCAGATACCCTCAGTTGTTCCTGCCATGGCTTCTCCTTGAAGCTGTCCTCATAGCCCAATGCCAAGTTTTCAGTTTCATTCTGTGAGCATCCCAGCTCTATGGCACCGAAACTACTCAGCTGCAACCCAGTTTTAAAATGCAGTATGGCTAGGTGTGGGGGATTATGCATAAAAATAAGGTTTAAATGCTGTTGTGCATGCAGTATGAAATTGAATGCTTGTCTCAGTTTCACTATGTGAATCAGCACGCCTGAAGCGGTATTTTTGACACGTACAGCTACACCAAACGGGCATTACATACGACAGGCTGCTTTATAAGCAGCAGCGCCGGTGTGGATTTATGAGAGGTGAACTGTGCTTTCCCTCCCTCGCTGCTGCCCGACGAGAAACACCGAGAAAACACCTATGCTGCCCGCACGGAATTCACCCTTTGCTCAAGGAATAAACCCTCGTGCTTTTGCTGCAGTGTGGGATGGCCTGAGGGAGCAGGGCTGAGGCAGCGTCGGGCCATGAGGGGAGCGGAAAAAGGGCGGGAAAGGCCCTCAGAGGCAGGGACGCCTCAGCGGACCTGGCAGAGTATCGCTGGCACGTTTATGTCCTTGCAGCTTGGTTATTTTACAATTCTTAAGGTAAATTTTACTCACTAGAGCGGCGCTGGCACATTTATGTTGTTGTAGCTTGGTTAATTTACAATTCTTGAGGTAATGGGGCGGTGTGGGGAGGAGATGAGCATGGGTGGGAGGAAAAAGGGCAGGAAAGGCCCTCAGAGGCGACGGCACCTCAGCGGACGCAGCAGAGCGTTGCTGGCACGTTTATGTCCTTGCAGCTTGGTTATTTTACAATTCTTGAGGTAAATTTTACTCACAAGATGGGTATTAGTCCTGCTGGTGGTGTGTCCAATTAGAATGTCTATTTTGTGTTAAAAAAAATCCCTCAGAAGCCAGGTTCTTTCAAAATCTCCAATTTGTCTTAAAATACATGAGGGAATTAAACCACATTTATTAGATTGTGTGGTGGCATTTTAATTATACTCAAGTCACTCTTGAGCATTTTTTGTTCACAGTTTTTCAGGTGTTAGCTTTATATTCTGTCTGCTGTAGGACGAGCAGAAAAACAGACTTAAGATTGGATAAAATCCTGACACTTTGTTACACTGAGTGGATTGCTTATGGGTTGTGCTCACAATTTAAATTCAAATGAAGCTCAGGCCTCACGCCTTGTTGAGAGAGATCTTTTCTGGCTCGAGTAAGCGACTCCAATCTTCTACACTCCTAATATTTCTAGACCTGTGTAGTTAAATAGACATTTTGGGAGTTGCAGTGTTGATGTCTCCTGAGCCTCACTGGAGTCTTTGCTGTCATGTCCATATTTAGAAATCTCTTTTTCACTCTTGTTCTTTTCTTGATCAGTCAAAACCTGAATCAGTTTAAATTCTCTACTTAATGGCATGACAATGCTTATTTCTAAAATAAACTATTGCAATTTGTTGGTATGTTGGTAAGATGTTAAAATAAAAACACCTTAGTTATGCTGATCTCTATAAAAACAGACTTTAGTTCACCTGATTTTAAATGGTTAATGTAGAAGATATAGCAAAGTAATAGGCAGGTAATTTATCTTAACTTTCAAGTGTGATTTATCTTGCTCTAAGAAGTTTGAGCCTGATAAGAACTTTGATCCTGAAAGAAAAAGAAAAGCTGATTAGACTGAGAAAATAAGAGAACGTTGTAGTGGAAATTTTTCCAACTTTGTGTTGGAAATTTACCAGGAAAAGTCACTTAAGAACAGAACTGCATCATTCTAAACGTATACAGCGAGCACTTGTTTATTTTGGAACTCCAGGGCTGTCAGTAGCAGACTCACCAGGAGCTGGGCTTGCATTTTCCATGAGCTCAAGCTTTGGAGTCTGTTCCTAGAGATAATGAAGTGATTCTCTCTGGCTGACAATTGGTAGGCCCAGGTCCCTGAGCATCAAAGAAACAAAGCCAGAAAACAGCATTTAGGAAAACCAGCACAGGAATTCAGAACATGTGCACACTTCTTTGTTATGGGGGAAGGGGTTATTCCTGGGAATGCAGCTTTTGAAGGAACTTTTAGAGCAACTCAGCCCTGCTGAGAAAGTTTCTTCAGTTCTTGGAGCCTTTTCTCCTGCTCCTGTGTGTAGGAACAAGTGTGTGTCACTGACCATCTTTTGCCCCACTTTCAACCATCCTACCTTGTCTCCTGGAGGTGGTGTAGGAAAGGGTTTGCCAAGCCAAAGCCTCTTGCTGGTTGTAGCAATGATGCAGGTGTTCTTTGAAAACACCTTGGTTGCAACGTAGCCCTGTTAAAGTTAAACAAAAACCCCTTTTTGTTGCAAACAATATATGGGGAAAGGGAAGTGCGTTGCTAGAGAGAGGCACTGGTTAGAAGAAAGGCTTCCTACAGTGCAAATAGTCATGGGGAAAGAAAAATATTGGTCCTTTCAATTATATTGTTTAGGCAAATGTGTCATGGAGGCCGACAAGAGACTTTGCTAAAAGTTAAATGCCACGTGTATGGTGTGTTCTGCTGCTGAGGGCAGGTGAAGGAATTTGCTGCTGAAAAGCTAATGCAGCACACAGTGTACCAGGAGGAGTTACAAGGCTGAAGGAGCATGTTTTAAAGCATCTCCTCTGAAATCTGTTGAAGTTTTACAGAATCAAAGAATCAACCAGGTTGGAAAAGACCTTTGAGGTCACCGAATCCAACCAATGACCTGACACCTCCTTGTCAACCAGACCGTGGCACTGAGTGCCACATCTGGTCTTTTCTTAAACCCTTCCAGGGACATTGACTCCACCACCTAGCTGGGCACCCATTCCTATGCCCATCATGCTTTCTGTGAGGAAATTCCTCCTAATGTCCAGCCTACGTTTCCCCTGGTGCTGAGGCCTCTCGTCCTATTGCAAGTTACCTGAGAGTAGAGATCAACCCCACCTGGCTGCATTCTCCTTTCAGGGAGTTGTAGGGGGTGGTAAGATCTCCCCTGAGCCTCCTCTTCTCCAGGCTAAACACCCCCAGGTCCCTCCACACAGGGCTTGTGTTCCAGACCCTCTGCCAGCCCTGTTGCCGTTCTCTGGACACACTCCAGCATCTCAACTTCCTTCCCTTTTATGGGAAATTATAGGTGTACTTACAGGGAACTTCATTTGGATGGCAGGCCCGGCCAGCTCTGCTGCTAATTGATGTGTACTCTTGCTTTTTATGCATAATATCCCAAAGTTAAATCTGAAAATGGGTTTGCCTTATTGGCAGGTGCCCTGTGTTCACAGAAGCATGACGAGTTTCCTGGGGAAGTGCTCTGATAAGAGGAGGCTTTGATACCTGCCTGATTGAATTCATGGCATACAGGGAGGTGAGAGAAAAGTGCTCATGGTAAGCTCAGTGTACTGAGCAGCCACCTGTAAAGGAACAACAATGATCATCAGAAGCAGAGCAGAGATTCCCAGTAAACTTGCAGTGATGCTTTGTGCCAGGGTGTCAAAGGACTCAGCCTGAAGTTGTGCCTCTGACCAAAAGCACCATTCAAAGCAAGGGGGTGGTAATCTTGCTGTGTTAAAAATGTTACGTGATTCCTTAGAGATCACAAGGTTGGTTCTAAATCATAGGAATTGCTGAGTTCTTTTGCTGCCCTTCCTTTCTGAGCTCATTCAGGATCTGATTTCTTTTTGTCAGACATGGCTTTAATCTTCACAGAGCCTCTTCAGGACAGTAGCACCTGATCATGGACTAAGGGCTGATTTGAGAAAGGGACCTGAAACTAGAGGTGGCAAATCATGTGTGAGGGAGGAGCAGTGACATGGGACATTTTATATCCCCTGTTATTGAGGAAGTAGATTTTAATTTTTTCTG